TATAGGCTTAGTACTGAGGTACTGCATGCGCTGAACAGCTGTACCTGTCTGATCTGCCCTGCCTTGACCTTGGTCTGGCCTGAACAAGTGCCGCGTTAGAAGTACTGTCTGCTTCCGCCTTCAGGTACCTTAGTACCTCCTCATCATCTTAGACCAAGGAGTGGACAAGACAAGACAGGACTCTGCTGACTTCACATTTTACACCAGCCCAGGGCTCCGCTCTCATCCTCCCCTTCCCTTACCTCACCTCACACTACTACCTCTCAGTCGACATAACCTAACCTCTCTTTCCCTCCCTCGTCAGACGTGGAAAGAGCTCAGAAATAACACCCATCACTCTTTCCGTCTTCCATCTTCCCCTTGTCCCCTCCCCCTCTAGCCATTTATTGCCCCAGCTTCTTCGATACGATACCCTTTTCTATTTTCCGTCTCTTTCGAATCTCGCATCGCATCTCAACTTTGTATTCTTCTCTGGCTTGGTCTTTCTCCACTCCCGGCGTCCTCTTCCGTCCAGGTCCAACCTCCTCCACCTTGGCCGACCGTCGCCGCCCACGATCCGGACGACGACGACGATACCTCCGACGCAATCTTCTCACTCCCCCATCATGAATAAGTTGGCAAATATGCGTCACTGGCCGGAAAGAATGACACCCAATTTCGGTATGGGCCGTCCCAATATGCCCATGAATGCTCTCAATCATCCCAAGAACGCCGCTCAACCCGGTCAGCCCATGGCTTCACCTCAAGCCGCCGATACTACCATTCTTTACTCGTTCAACATTCCATTCGCTTCCGACCTTGCAGGCCCTGATACAGAGGATATTCTTCACGCGACCACTGATGCTGTCTTGCGATGGACACATCCCGAGGACGCGCCGGACGACGTCCAGATCCACCAGCTGCCTATTCATGTTCAGAACCTCAACACCCTGCATACAATGTGCCAGGACCTCACCAATGGGCCTCTCCCTGTTGATGCTTATGTTCTGTCGACAATGCCCAAGAATGGCAAAGGGCAACAGGTCGCTACTGTCTGTCTCTCGGGTTCTCCAGAGCTGGTCCACAAGAGCCGAGAGACAATCCTGAATGATACCCCCATTTCTCTTGTACGTCCCCCAGGTTCCACTCCATGCCATTGCTGTTGCCACTCGAAGGTCTAGTTTAACACATCCCGCAGCGTTGTACTACAATTGATATTGATGGTCACCTTGTTTGTGACCTCAATGCCGGCTTGCTCAAGACTGAGGTTACCAACAACCTCGACTACATCTCGAAATTCTGCGGTGTTGATATCTTTCTTCTCGGTCCCAAGTTAACCCCTGTCGTTGATGGCATGACTGGTGATGCTGAACTGCGTATGGATCAACGATGGAGAGTTGCTATCTACGGTGACATCCTATCATCTGAGCATGCAAAGGCCCGTGTCTTGATCCATATTGATACTCTGGTACCTACTCCCGCTCAATTGTGTTCGACATGTGACCCCTAACTTTTTTTGCAGCTCGGTCGTATTGTCGATATGACAAAACTTGATGTTTCCTGCCATCAGCTTGTCTGTGGTCGTCATCGTAAGAACATCAAGCTCATCGAATCTTCTACTGGAACTGCCATCTACTTCCCACCTCCGTTCTCTGCTATGTACCGTTACTGTCCTCCAAATGCGACCCGTCGCGATCCCAGCGATATTTTCATCACCGGTGAAACCCCTCAGGCCATCGAACTCGCCAAGCAGAAACTTCACGAGACTGTTCAACGCATCAGGCTTTACGTTAAGGACGTAACTATCCCTGCTGCTAAGATTGACAGTATTCTCCTTGGTCGCCTGGATAAGGTTCGCAAAATCCTGGAAGCTAATGGTACTTTTATCCTGTTTCCTTCCTTGGCCACCCAGCGCAACATGGTTCGTGTCCAAGGTAGCGAGGGCCTCCATGTCGAGCGAACCGTGCGGGAGATCATGTCGCTGGTATGTCTACTGAAACTCGGATATTGCTTCCCAACTGACGCTTCCATAGGCTGGGCAATTCTACAGTGCGGGCTGGTACATACAGCATGCAGATGCTAGGCAGTTTCCTGGTCCTCGTGACATGCGGAGCATGCTCGTTGATATATGTGCTAACTCTGACGCCGACATTTCGTTCGATAGGCTTAACTTTGCCATCACTGGCTCTGATGACGCAGTAAAGTCCGCTCTCCAAGTTATTTCAGAGATGAAATTTGTATCGCAGTCCCAGTACCAAATTCGTGTCAAGATTGAGCTCGCCAATGAGCACAAAGAATTCGTCAGCGGCAAGAAGAATGGCAAGATTAACAAGATTATGGGACAAAGCAACGTCCAGATCATCTTCGACGGGTTCAATGAGTACAATTTCAACATCGATGTCATGGCAGCGGCATACGACTCTATGAAGCAAGGTCTTACACTTGTCGAACAAGAGATGCCTGCATCTATTTCATTCCACGTGCCCGATCAGTATCACAAGCGCATCATCGGTATTGGTGGCCAGCACATTCAACGCATCATGAAGAAGCACTCAGTCTTCGTCAAATTTTCCAACGCTATGGATCGAGGTAAGCTTTGTCTTGGCTTAATCGCAAATCTCCTGCTAACGTTTCATCAGGAGGCATGGGTCGGGAAGATGATGACATCAAGGTCGACAACGTTATCTGCCGCACACCTGCGCGCAATGCGCAGAACCTGGACGCTGTCAAAAACGAAATTCTGGAGATGGTTGACCGCGCTGTAAGTGTCATCGTACAAAGGCCTTGCAACTTCAATGCTAACGTTAATCGTCAGGATTCTGAGTACACCTCTCAGATTGTCAGCGTTGACCGTCTCTACCATCGCCAGCTCATTGCCAGACTCCCCGATATCGATGGTTTGGAGCAGAAGTACAACTGCAAGATCAACTTCCCTAGTACTGAGCAGGCCAGTGATGAGGTGACTGTCAACGGTCCTCAGTGGCAGGTCCCTCATTGTGTCGATGAGTTCCTGGGTATGGTTCCTGATAAGCACGAGCTTGTCCTGGCTAGAACCCCTGAGTTGATCAAATTCCTTGAGTCTCCCGAGTTCGTTCACGACCTTGTTCCCAAGCTGAAGAGCCAGCATGAGGTCGATCTTAGCGTTCAGCAGAACACCGACGAGCTTACAGAGGATGGTAAGCCCACCATCACTCTTCTTTGGGGCTTCACCCGTAACAACGCCGGTGGTCTTCGCGATGCTATGGACTTTGTGCAGTCTCAGTTCGCAACATCAGGGGCCGAGATCAATGTCGTTAAAGGTGCTCTCCCTCGTCCCAAGTCAGACTCGTTCGAAGATTCCCTGCAGTATTTCGACTCTAAGCTTCTGCAGCACGCCCCTGCTCCCGTTGCTGCCGATTCTCCCATCAAGACTGGTTTCGGTGACGAAGTCGCTCGTGAGCGTAGCAGCATTCTTGACCGTCTCAGGAAGCCTGGCAGTATGACCTCGATCTCGTCTTTCTTGGATCGCAGAAAGAACAGCTCTCACTCTGGTAATAGCAACTTCTTCAAGGGCTCTAGCAACGTTTCCAAATCATCACTCATTTCGATCGAATCGACTCGCAGTTTCAACGCCGACCGAAACCCTTGGAACGACAGTGGCGTGAACCTCCCCGACAATGACGATCCTTGGGCTCCTCGAACATTTGGTACTCACATGGACAACAAACTGTCCATTCCTCAACCCGGCGACGTTACGCCTCGCCACAGCACCCGCGCGTCTGGTGACAGCGGGCGCCCTTCTACTTCTCATTCAATGAATTCAGGATACCCCGCCCCTATTGGGCCTTTCCGTTAGATTCCCCGTGTTAGAACCTCCACATGCAAATACCCCCGGCTGGATATACCCTGGCGTAAAAATACCCTGGAACGTCGACTTGTGCATCGGTCGGTTTACGTCTTGCCATGTTTGTTTTACCTGATTTATGTTTGAATGCTTTTTTTGTTCGTTTATGTTGAATTCTTCCCTTGTTTATGCAGGATTGACGGTTCTCTTTTGATGACTTGACGTCCACTCCTTATACCCAGTCATGTAACGAAGAGCTGAGACCAAAAAGAAAAAAACGAAGAATACCCCTGGTTGCTGATTGAGATGGATTTTGTTTGGGACATGATGGATGTTTTGGGGGGAAGATACCACTGTCGACGAAAATAAGATCGAGAGTCTGCCTTCAAAAAAGAAGATGACTTATACACGGAGTCAAAGTTGGGTTTGTTTTGGTTGTCATGTGCAAGGCATGAGTTCTCATACCAAAACTGCACAAGGCATACACTGGCTGCATTTGAAGTTGCCAAAGAGGAGAAAAGGGTAACAAGACAAGCATATCCGCGAGCGGTCATAAAAAGTTGAGAGCATTGCTGTTGGCAAACCAGATTGAGAAATGACAATGATACCAGCGGCTCAGCCGCAAATGCTCGATGCGCGAAGCTTTGTTTTCACCATTAAATGATCTCGATTCATGGTCGAGATGTTGTGAGAAACAGTGTAAATGAAAGTACATGTTGCTTCTATCTGTGCAAACATATTTGGTTGACGTTCGGCCTCGACCGGCGACATAACATTCCTGTTCGTAGATATACCTGATCTGATAGCTGTTCTTTAGATTTGAGCTCAATTTTGATTCGATATCTTCGTTCAACCACCGAGTTATCCTCCGCCGTCCTGATTTATGTTCAGCTTTTCTACATCCGCATAACGTGTCAAATGTGACACCAAGCTGGGAATAAAGTGCCGACTAACTGAACTGATGATCGACAACCAGGACAGGTCGGTTACCCTATAGTTCTCCGCAATGACAACCTCGGCGACAATTAACATGACCCAACTGCACTTTTTATTCTAAACCTCTCTAAACCCGCTCACATCTCATCGAATTCAATCATCTCATCACTAGAGTCTTTGATCACTTCTAGTGATTGCTAATATACTTTTATACTACCACCCCACATTCAAACAGCTTGAGGCACTTCAGCAAACGTAAACCATGTCACAAGACCAAGATATGACTACCTCAATCAAGAGCCTGTCTATCAAGACACAGGAAGAGCCGGTACAGGCTTCCACAAAGCCCACAACCAAGAAAAAAGCCGCAAAGGAGGTCATTGCAGACTCCTGGGAGGACGCTGACTTAGATTCGGGCTCCGGAGCTGAGGACGAGTCAAACAAGGCCACATCCACCGTCACGCCTGCACCTCCTCCTCCGACGCCCATGTCACCTGTCGGTGATTTGTCCTGGACATCTATGTCAAGCAGCTCTGTACCTGGCCCTCGAGGTGGAACTGATCCAGACCGACGACCAGAGAAAACTGATGCCGTTGCCCGTCGGATGATAGCTGCTGGACTAGGCCTCAAAGCACCCAAACAGACAGAGGAACAAAAGGCGTACCAGAGGAGCGTGCGTGAGCAGGAAAAGAAGAAGAGAGAGCAGGAGCGAGAGGAGGAAAAGAAAAGGCAGGCCGAGGTTGAGAAGGCAAAGGCAGCTGTCTGGGATGATTAGAGAATGTATTGTATGAGATAGTTTAGTCGTGACTGTGACTCTCTGAAGCAGAAATCGACTAGTGAAAGCATGACGAAACTGCCACCAGTCCAACTAATGCCTTTCTCTATCCCCAAACTTGGTTCCGCATATCATACGCCACTACTGTTTTTGGTTTCCAACATATTAGGAGAACTCTGCTATGAACGGTGATACCGTTAAGCTCACATCCCTATTTAGATTGCCAGTGAGTCGCCACATATTATGGGCACTGAGATGAGGTAGTTGAGACATTTATTAATCTCAGAAGTGTGCAAGACACTTCCAGTAGCAAGGTCGCAATGAGCGAGGGTATCTTGGTAGGGCTGTTTGGCTTCTTCCTGGGCTATTATATCTAGAAATCCAACCTGTCTAGTACCTCTAGGGATAAGTACTAATATAATCATGAATCTATCGAACAAAACTTCTTAGGCAAATCAGAAATCATAAATCTCAGTATATGAAGATAGTAGGACATTGGTATTGAAAACTCGGATATTTATATACCTGGTGAGCATGATAAATAACGAGGCACGCGAGCTCAGTAGTTGAATACCTTAGTAGGTTGATACCAATCTGATAACTTAAACCGAGAGTGGGGTTGTCTGGCCGCTGACTAAGGTATAGAAGTTAGCGCAGAACGTCTTAGAAACTGCTTCTGACTCGAAATTTTGGATGATGTCGTCCAGTCGTAGTTTAGTCCGACGTCGCCATTAGACATACATTTAGATTATTAAGTCGCCTCCACCAAAACTGCACTGGTGATGCGGACAATTGCGGCCTACACTAACCTTGTCGACTGTGTCTGATAGAGCTTCTCATCCCATTCTTCTCTCCTTTTTTTATACACATAATTCCCCTTCCCTACCTAATTGCCTATTGTTTGTTTCATTACAAGCTAGCTAGCTGCCCACCGCGGGGAGCTTCTACCTCAGCTCCGTATTCGCTTTAAAGCATCGCATCATAGCCCATCACCCACCATGATTCCTCGTTCACGACACTCGGGACGCCTCATTCTCGAGCGCTCTCTCGTCCATGCAACAAGAGCCTCTTCCGAAGCAGCCGCTGCTCGATGGACTTCTTCTCCCGCCTACCGCAATCATCATATCTGCGGCCGCCGGCTCCCCGTTATCCAGCCGCGGTTAGTCGCTGCAGCTTTCTCAACATCCGCCCGAGTCGCCAAAGAGAAGGACAACAGTGATAAGGGCTTCTTCGAGCCTGCGATTGAGCCATTGACTGAACCCCTGTCAGAGGAAGAGGCCAAGGCGAATGTCGAGAACAAGCGCAAGGAAACTGACGGAACGATATTGGCCGAGTCGAAGAACCCAGGGCCTGACTCACCAGGATCTGGCAAAAATGACGGCGGCAGTCAATCGCAGGACGGAAAAGCAGGTAGCGCCGCAGGAGGCGCTGGATCAGGCTCGGGTGGTGACAACTCTGGTGGTGATGGAGGCCGTCGCGGTCGTAAGCCTTCTTCCGAGAAGGCTCTTCAGAAACCTGTAGTGCCTGAAGTCTATCCTCAGGTTCTAGCGATCCCCATCGCCCGAAGGCCGCTTTTCCCTGGTTTCTATAAGGCCATCACCATTAAGGATCCCGAAGTGGCAAATGCAATCACTGAATCGATCAAGCGTGGCCAGCCGTATGTTGGAGCTTTCTTGTTCAAGGACGAGAATGAGGACGAGGATGTGATTCGAAACCCTGAAGATGTCTACGACGTTGGTGTTTTTGCTCAAATCACAAGTGCTTTCCCCATCCATGGCCAAGAAGGTGCTTTGACTGCTATCCTGTACCCTCATCGCCGTATCAAACTGTCCAGTCTGCTACCACCTGGCGGCCAAGATGCTACCAAGAAGCCCGACTCCAAGACTGACTCCAAGACCGAACCTACACCGGAACCGATTCCTCAGAAGCCCGCTGAAGAGGAAGCTACACCCGAGAAGAAGGGGGATGTTGTCGCCAGCTTCGAGGAGAGCGCTGTTGAGAAGAAACCCGATCAGGTCGCCGAGAAGTACGAGCCGACATCGTTCCTCAAAAGATACCCTGTTAGCTTGGTCAACGTCGAGAACCTCGTCGATGAGCCCTACGACCCCAAGAGCCCCGTCATTCGTGCTGTCACCAACGAGATTGTCAACGTTTTCAAGGAGGTTGCCACAATGAATAATCTGTTCCGAGACCAGATTTCCACCTTCTCGATGAGCCAGTCTACCGGAAATGTTACATCAGAACCCGCTAAACTTGCCGATTTTGCTGCTGCTGTGTCTTCAGGCGAGCAGAAGGAGCTTCAAGAAGTCCTTGGATGCTTGAATGTCGAGGAGAGAATGCAAAAGGCTCTTGTGGTGCTCAAGAAGGAGCTCATGAATGCCCAGCTGCAGTCCAAGATTAGTAAGGATGTGGAGAATAAGATTAGCAAGAGACAGCGAGAGTACTGGCTTATGGAGCAAATGAAGGGTATCCGTCGTGAACTTGGCCTCGAGTCTGACGGCAAGGATAAGCTTGTCGAAAAGTTCAAGGAGAAGGCAAACAATCTTGCCATGCCCGAAGCTGTACGCAAAGTCTTTGACGAGGAGCTTAACAAGCTTGCTCATCTTGAAACCGCTGCTTCCGAGTTCAACGTGACAAGAAACTATCTCGATTGGCTTACCCAAATCCCCTGGGGCAGGAGGAGTGCCGAGAACTTTGGCATTCATCACGCTGTCAAGATCTTGGATGAGGATCACCACGGTCTGAAGGATGTCAAGGACCGCATTTTGGAGTTCATCGCCGTTGGTAAGCTTCGAGGCACTGTTGAGGGCAAAATTCTCTGCTTTGTCGGGCCTCCTGGTGTGGGTAAGACGAGTATCGGAAAATCTATTGCTCGTGCTCTCAACCGAGAATACTACCGATTCAGTGTCGGTGGTCTCACGGATGTTGCTGAGATCAAGGGTCACCGAAGAACCTACGTTGGTGCCCTGCCTGGTCGTATGATCCAGGCTTTGAAGAAGTGTCAGACTGAGAACCCCTTGATACTGATTGACGAGATCGACAAGATTGGTAGAGGTTACCAGGGTGATCCTTCATCCGCTCTGCTCGAGTTGCTCGACCCCGAGCAGAACAGCTCCTTCTTGGATCACTACATGGATGTGCCCGTGGACTTATCCAAGGTTCTGTTCGTGTGCACTGCCAACATGACAGACACTATCCCTCGCCCTCTTTTGGACCGAATGGAACTCATCACCCTCTCAGGATATGTCGCTGACGAGAAGATGGCCATTGCTCAGCGCTATCTTGCCCCTGCTGCTAAGGAGACTGCTGGACTTCAGAATGCCGATGTCACTTTGAGCGAGGAGGCTGTTGAGGAACTCATCAAGTCATACTGCCGTGAGTCTGGTGTCCGAAACCTCAAGAAGCAGATCGAGAAGGTATACCGAAAGTCTGCCCTCAAGATCGTCCAAGAGCTTGGTGAGGAGGTTCTGCCTGAAGAGGAGGCTCTTACCGAGGAAGGCAAATCTGCACTTGAGGAGGCCGAGAAGAAGAGCAATACTGACGAGGCTACCGAAGAGGGCAAGGGTGCTAAAGAGTCCAGCTCGAACGAGACTGGCGCAGCTACGGAGAAGCCTCGCAAGGCTCTTAAGGTTCCCGACTCTGTCCACGTCGTCATTGGCAAGGATAACCTCACTGACTACGTCGGCCCACCTGTCTTCACCTCCGACCGTCTCTACGAGGTCAGCCCTCCCGGTGTGTCCATGGGTCTCGCCTGGACACAACTTGGCGGTGCTGCCATGTACATCGAGTCCATTCTTCAAGCTCCTCTCCGACCCTCTACACGACCTCACCTTGAGATCACTGGTAACCTTAAGAACGTCATGAAGGAATCTACCACCATCGCATACTCCTTCGCCAAGTCCTTTATGGTTAAGCAATTCCCTGACAACCATTTCTTCGACAAGGCTAAGATGCATCTCCATGTCCCTGATGGAGCTGTCTCTAAGGATGGCCCATCAGCTGGTATTACCATGACTACTTCGCTCCTGTCACTTGCTCTCGATGCTCCTGTCAACCCTACAGTTGCCATGACCGGTGAGATCACGCTCACTGGAAAAGTGTTGCGTATTGGCGGTCTCCGTGAAAAGACTGTTGCTGCTCGACGTGCTGGCTGCAAGACAATCATATTCCCCAAGGACAACATGTCCGATTGGCTAGAGCTTCCCGAAGTATGTCTATTCCAATAACCTCAGATTTCAATGGAAATGATGCTAACAACTACTTATAGAACATTAAGGAGGGCCTTGAAGGCCATGCCGTGGCTTGGTACCCTGAAGTCTTCGATCTTGTTTTCCCCAACATTGATAAGGAGCAGGCAAACAAGTGCAAGATCTGCGAGTGGAAGGCTCAGCAGAAGAAAAGTGACGCCGAACCTGCTGAAGAGGAGGAATAATCATCGAACGCAAACAGCGTTCCCGTTGATACACTCTAGCTGTGCAGCTGCTGCCTTGGACTAGATCAAAAAGAGCTGGTGCAAGGGCAGCTGCAAGGCATGATTTGAGAGGCGTTTGGGCATGGGGTGAGAAATTAGATGAAAGATATAAAGACTCCTACTCTTGTTATTACCAATATGTGGACATTGTACTATTAGAAGCATGCATTAGTGGTTTGTTTTGGGGGCATAAGACAGCGTGTAGTTGACGCCTCCATGTATAATTGAACATGTATAAAAGCGACATACGTCATCCTACTTTACTACTTGAGTTGTTACTTTGCAAGACCATTCTGCGAATCATCTCATCACTTCGCTCAAGTTTGAAAACAGTCGGTACCATGACACTCACAAGCCTTATTTATGCTAGTAACAGCACGTGGGTAAGTAATATTATGCTTTGGAGGTGTAGTTCGAGGCCTGCAATGTGGTTGCAGCTTGTAATGTAGGGTACTTTGAGGGTTCCAACAGGCTATCCTAGAATCATATTCTCGGTTGAACGTTGAACCAATGGATCGGAGCCGGAATGATAGGCTGTCTTCCTGGACCCTTCCGGATGACTTGATCCTGCGTTTCCTCTACGGCCAAGACATTGCTTTTTGAGATCCGCTTCTCGGTCCATGGCGGTGCGGGATCGACGGACCCAGGCACGGCACGAGCCTAGCCGAGTATAATTAGATATTTGGCCTACAGTGGTCTCTATCGTCACCTCAACCTTTGGCATTGTCGAAAACGTCAAGACAAAACAACACCGTACATCGTCGTAGGATCAACTAGAGTAAGCGATCCAAGACAAATCTGCCGGTGCAGCCACCTTTCCTCGTAAGGGCCAGTTGGCACCCAACCGAAGGTCTTGAGAAATCTGGAAGGCCGTTCGTACATATGCATATGTACCGGGAGTGTGTCGCGGCCCCATTGCTTGCATGGCGAACCGACAGCCTGTCAAGACTAGGTAGCCTCACTCAAGAGTTGCTCTAATGGGCCATTCTGATTGATGCTGCTGTGCTGCACTAATGCCTGACCCCACGCGAGGCTCTTTGGGGATCTTGGCTGGTGGATTGGGCCTCAGTTCGCGTAAAGCTGAAAGCATCTCCAGTCCCTGTGTGACGTGACGTACCATTTCAACAATTGAGACGAGAGAGAAGAAAGTCCAAAGTTTGACAAACCAAGTAAATGGGTAAGCTTGGGTATTTCCTTCCTGGGAGAGATGCTTGATGGTGTGTGCGGTTTGGAGGATCCAAAATGGAAGAGAGCAAAGTCGTATTGGACATCTTCATGACAGTGCAGTGCAATTGGTTGATGAAACAGTCTGCCAGATTGATGATATTGTTGTGTATCGTGTCCGCGTTGGCGAATTGTACAAGGGTCCAAACCAGAGTTTGATACGACAATTGCCAGGCATTGCTGCGCTGCACCCTGCTCGAATGCCTGCTAGGTAGTCGTACAGTACGACTTCAAGTTTGGAATGTCTAAACATCCTCTTGTGTATTGCGTTACATGTGGTGACTCGAACTTACTGTTCGGCTCAGCACTCAGCGTGCTTGACATATGCCATTCACAAACCAAATCCACCTAGCCATTGTTCGCCTTGAATTAGGGGCCTAGAACGTCTATCTCGCAATGGATACCATTCAGGAATTGCCAAACAGTTAATATTGCGGTGTGCGACCGGTCAGCCCTTTGGTGATGCTTATGAGGATGGCGTATGCATTGGACTATTGTGTGTCTTATCGTGCGAGTTTGAAAGTCAGCAGCAAAATGACGCACGTTGATTAATGCATTCTTCGGCACGACACGCATGCGCTTTCCTTTGAGCCAATACCTAACTGACTGTGTAGTTCTCGGATGTAATACTCGGTTAGTTCCTGCTATGGCTTCGACCCTTTACCAATGATGTGGTTGTAAATTGCAGCCGAGGGTCAAGGTGTATAGTGAAGCTGTCACGATCTCTATTTTGAGCAGGAGACTTATTTGACAGGCGTTGATGGATCATGACGAAATTAACTTAGTCACCTGTTATAAGTTTTGATCAGGTGCCTTCGGGTAGGTAGTGTGAATTGCCGTATTTTAACAGAATGAACTCAATATTCAATTTTATATCTGCGCCTTATTTTTGCATGTTACCTTTTGTATTGCAACTTTCTTTTCACATGGTCAGTTTGCTAGGTAATGGTAGGTAGACAAATATTGTCTAGGAATTGTTAAAATGCAATTTTATCTCTATCCGCGTGATACAGACTCTGCACATTATACTACCAACTCTAAAAAGGATGGAACCGTGCACTCTCACTCTTTCACATCACCAGATAAACCAGTGCCAATTATTTGGACGTCCAATCCGCTCGCAACTCGAGTCTTGAAGCCTGACCAGGACACTCATACTCTCCGTGCCTAACCTAACGATGCATCACCGCCTTCCCCTGCGCTGAAGTAAACGCAAACTCGTGTCTAGCGTCGATGGAATGGGACGAGACAAGGGCATCTGAAAGGGGCCAACTCATCGATCGTTCCCCACCAACGAGCCGTCCACCGTCACCGTATCTCTTTCTCCAAAGGATGACATTACAAGCCGCAGACCAGCCAGGTGAGACCACAACTTGCTTGTCATGGAAAACAATGCTCGCCTAGCAGGGTCGTCTGGCTAGTTTTGGAGATTGAAAGTTCCAGCATGGTGGGATGAATGAGCCATCGTTGCAACGCCCACGTTCAAAAAGTCATGTACAAATGTCGTTAAGTCAAGCAACGACCCCTGATGGTCCCCGGCAAGTCTGGGGCAAAGTACCACCACAGCCCTGCGCTGACATCTGGGTTTGGACAGTCAATAGTGGTGGCTTTGCTTTGCAGCGTGAAGTGAGCAGTCGCACACATGGCATGTGTCGCAGTTGATTGCATCCAGCCCCTCCACAGGGCGGTCCGGCCAGAGCGTCATCAAGGCACAAGCTTGGCCTTTACAAAAGGAATCACACGCCGTCACGGATGCTCTGTACAAGTGGTAGTGTGGCTCAGGCTCCTAAAGAGGCCCAAAGCAATCAAGGCCTAACTACCTAAGGTACTAAACTAAACGTCAGAAGCCAGCGCCTCCTCCGCCCGCTCCGCCCGTCCCCGTGTCGTCCCGCCGCGACTAAGAGCCAACTATCCACTCAGCCCACACACACTCATGTCCAGTCAGAGCCCACATCCACTACTATTGCCGCCGCTGCGTGCCCGTTTTAGGCTTTAGACCTCATCGTTACCGTCCATTGAATATCAACAGGGCGTCCATCGCAACTCCATCTAAACCATCTTCTGCTGCCTCAGGCTTTTTTTTACTACATCTTACCCGACAAATTCTTACTCACGCATCACGATCATTCCTCAATGCTTTAACTAACGATTCCAACGCACTGATATTAATTACGTCTCCGGCTTCGCTACCCGTGTGTTCGACCGCTCATCCAAAGACCCGCTTCTCACCGACCGTTGCATTATCCCAGCCTCCCCGGCCAGATATACCGACTGCAGCAACAACTTTCTTTTTTGCTTGCTTTTGTATGGGTCAAGCAGTGAGAACTTTCTCATCTTGCTTCTCTAATCGTGAATACTCTTCTTTCATTAACGAACTGGAGATATTTCCTGGTACATCTTGTGGCCTTTCACATTGATACTTGTTGTTGGCTGGCATATTTCACCGTTGCCATTTCATCGACGTTTCCCGTCTACACGGTAGCTGTTTCCCCATATTCTTCCCGAAAACCTTTTGTTTCTATAACGAGCACACGTTGTGGAACGATACAGCGTGGTGCATGCGTTACCAGACACCGACTTACCATTGTGCTACCGTCCGTCACTAAGTAACAATCGAATCATTACCTTTCCTGACACATCAGCTTGGCTTGATACCGACATCAATTGTTAGTTGTGATTGAACGCAGAATCACGTATACAGTCGCATTGTCGCGGCCATGGCTCAGGCCGGCGTAATACCGTCCGAGCCATCGCAACCACTTCACACACCAACGGCCCTATCCGGTCCCCATGGCTTCTTTCGAAAGCTCTTTGGCAGGCAGAGTGGGAACGGAGCTCCATCAAAACCTGTAGAGCAACCCAAAGACATTCAGCATGAAGACGAATCAACTGACACCAACAAGGGCGGGCTGATTAGTCGAATGTCTCGAAGGGTTGTACCAGGATTACCTCGAGCGCAGACGTTCAAGCGCCAAATATCAGAAAGGAGGACTAATCTATCACCGATCCAACCAACGCCAGACGAGAGACGAGCCGTTTCTATGGACAGACGCTCTAATAGAGCACGGAGTTCATCAGCCCAACCCGCAATCAACCCCCGTCTTAGCGCCCCAAGCTTTCTTGCTTCTCCCCTGGACGAAACCCCACGATTTGTTCCTTCAATATCCGTCGATAACGTGGTAGATGTAGCTTCCCAAGACTCTACCGCAGAGTCTTTGCACAGGGATGACGACGTTACACTTGCCGATGACTGCCCAGCACAGGACAGTCTTTCTACTGCAGATACTCATTCTATATCGGCATCGCAGTATGAAGCCCTCATCCATGAAGAGCTCGAAAAGACTTGGATCTTGAATCTCAGCATGCATTTCCGTGATCGATCAAGACGGGAGAAATTCTTTGTCACATATCGTGAACGCGATCATCTCTGGCGGCGTGTGACGATCTCACTGGATTACCGAGATGCGCCCCCAAATTCACTGGAGATGGATCTGATCCACACACATTTCCAACGAGAAAAAAGTGCAAAGATTTACGAGGCCATCCGAGAAAGCTTGCGGGACATTCAGTTTTACGACACTGTAACAAACCTGAAGCTTCAGACCACTGACGGAAGGCTTCATGTCCACGTGGTTGAGGACGGAAATGTAGGTTAACGTTGAAAAACCACCAAGACTAGAGCTAACAGCTTTCAGGAAATCATCCAATACCCAACTGTTGCTCAGATCAAGCACCTGGGATGCCGTCGCATTCGGGAGAGGGATATTGTATTTGAATCGCACATGTCTGGATTTGTTTACAAAGTCAATGTTAATGGCCACACACTCATTAAGAAGGAAATCCCAAGCCCTGACACTATAGACGAGTTTCTTTATGAGATCAACGCCCTCAACGCATTGCGATTTTCACGCAATGTCATTCACTTCTACGGTGTTGTGGTGGACGATGATGATCAACACGTGAAGGGACTCCTTATCAACTATGCAGACCAAGGAGCTCTGATCGATGTTATATACGAGCACTGCAAAGATGGTGATTATGGTCTGCCGTGGACGACAAGAGAGAGATGGGCGCGACAAATCGTGGAAGGGCTATCTGACATCCATGAATCCGGATTTGTGCAGGGCGACTTTACCTTGTCAAACATCGTTATAGATGGATATGGCGACGCCAAAATCATCGACATCAACCGACGAGGATGCCCAGTAGGATGGGAGCCTCCGGAAGCGACACCGCTCATCGAGAGCAACCAGCGCATTACGATGTACATTGGCGTCAAATCAGATCTGTACCAGTTAGGCATGGTTCTATGGGCATTGGCAGCGCAAGAAGACGAACCGGAAGCCCAGGGACGACCCTTGATACTCGGCCCCGAAGTGAACATTCCAGATTGGTATCGACAGATGGCCGAAGTCTGTTTGAGCGATGACCCGCGCATGCGGCTTCAAGCAGCTGCGTTACTGGAAATGTTTCCTCAGCCAGGGGAAAGCGAAGGTCGTGGCCAACTCAATCCACCAGAATCAATGGTAGACGAAGGCTACACTTTACAACAGTACCTGGGCGATGGATATCACCCAAACAACCTCCCGCACATCACGACGAATGAGCCATCCAACGACTGGTCATATGTGAACCAGCCACGTCCAGACACAAGTCCTGTTAGGTACGAACCGTATCGCTACACACGCGGTCGCTCTCCGCCAAGCCCCCTGCCAAGTAATTGCGACGATTACAATTCTCCTCGGGGGTCATACGATGTTGCTGCATGGGCAGCGAATCAAAACATACCCTCGTCATACAGTGATGTAGGACCCGATGGAACACCGGTTGATGAGACGCCTATTGCGAACAGGACGGGACTCATTGATTCCGATGCGTTAACAGCACCTGACTCAACCACGGGAAAAAGAGAGACGCCAGCCACTTCGACGACAACACCAAGTCCGACACGATGCGCGGATAGTCTTCATGGCAAAACCCTCTCAACTACCGACAAGGCGCCCCTGGCTCAGGGACAGGAACAAAGCATGGAAAGCGGCAAAAGGAACGTAGAAGCCCCGCATCGAGAGTTGGTCGCCAGTGTGACAAAGCCAGGAAACATCAGCCCAGGTGACAGCGATACTGTGGTCAGGGATCATCAGCAAGAGAGGAGGAAGGATGAAATGGTAAAAGATGATGTAAAAACACATACAAATGTTGTTCCACCAGAAAAAAGAACCGGACTTGTTGAAGGGAAAGAAGTCAAAGTGGCGCGAGCCTCAGACCGGAATCCCCAAGAGAGCTTGGAGGATTTGCCCAAGAACGACGACAGAGCGAAGAAGACCCAACTACCCCAAGACGGGAACAACACAGAAAAGCACCAGACGACGTCTGTAGGCGAGAAAAACGTCGCAGACAAAAAAGCAGAGGCAACGGCGGAACAAACCGCAGCAAAAAGGCAAGGGTCCACAGCACCTGGTGCCTACCAAACTACACCTGGCTGTACCAAGAAGAAAGAGCTGGATGCTGTAAAAGCAGACAGAGCTCCGGAAAGACTGGCGACTAACGACCACGTCAAGGGCTTTGAATTCTCAAAAACAACTGAGGACCCATACCCGTTGGTCAATGGTAAGCCGAGTCAAAAGAAGCATACAAATTACGACAAATCCACGGGAGTGAGACCTTCACGCGGACTATAACGAATGTCCATGACACGACATGATGAAGACTTAGTTTGTTTCTATTTGCATTGGTTTTTTTTATTTTATGATAGTATATTATTTTCTTTTATATAAGTGCATAATGGGTAGGCATTCTGCATAAAAGGGCGTAATTTATGTGTGTTGGTAGTTTGTAAGATTCTCTTTGTTTACTTTAGCAATTGAAGAAAGGCTGCGATGTTCTTTTCAATGTATATCCGATGTAGATAGGTAGTTTACCAACTGCGTGGCTCGATAAATTGTACTGGATATGTGACTTGCAAAGTTCTGGTCGACATAAACGTATGAAACGCGGTTATGCGTTATGACGCAATACACACTCAACTAAGGGCATGCAGGTTATGTGTTGTTTAAAAAGCTATAATTATAATGCTGACTAAGGGATCCGAATACAAGAAGGAATTGTTCTGGAAGCCATCAAGATCTGTCAAAATATGTGTCACGTGCGCTTTGAGGAAGTTAGAATACCTGAAGCAGGTCTTTTTTTCTGCCTGAGGCGACGATGTAAAACAATGGCAAACTTGGAGGCAACTGTGGAACAGCTTGGCTTGGCGAATACCGATCTTTGGCAGTCCTTTCCCCAACAGAAACACAAAAGCTGGGGGAGACGGGAGTCCAGGGTGTCGAGATACGTATCACCCCTGCTCGGTCTCGGAACAAAGGTAGGGATTCCAATGAGGAGAAACAGGAACTAACAATTCAATGCTGGGGACGGTAATTGTGTATGCACTGTAGCCGAGGGCAGAAATTGAAACCCCAATAACTGACCCATTGATAGTCGTGTCAGGTAGTGAGCAAATGGGCCGAGGCATCGTTCGATCTGGGGTTTAGAGGGTACATAGGATTCGGTTCATGATTGACCACCACCACAAGCTCGCTGTAGGGCTGGGTGAGTAATAGAGATGTGTTGAAGGATCCCCTATATTGACCAGCACGACAAGGTGAGATTCAACAATATTTGGGAGGAAAGAAGGTGGCCTGAGGTTTCGAATTAGACATCAAAGACTTGAGTACATGGCATGATATCATCGGGAGTTAACGACGTTGCAATTGCAGTATCGAAAATGATGTGAGCCAAGGGATCCCTATCATCGAGCAAATATTCGGTATCAAACCGAGTATGCACTGTATTAATGGAGACTGTGCAGGAGGCGGGCGTTGAGCCTAGATCTTTGAGATATAAGCGTGGAAACGTCAACGTTAAAACTTGGATGGGAGTCAGTCTCGGCATGCCCGGCCAGCCGGCATGGAAACGATGTCTGTTGATTTACATAGGAGCAACTGCGTGGGTCAATTTGCCACTTTGATATAGCAGTCAAATACCTTAAAGTTACCAAATGTCTTTGACCGTTATTTTGTGTGATATGTACAGGCCAGTACAGTGCAGTCAGTACCTTTGGTGATTTTATTCATCAAATAGTAACTCCAAAAGTTAACGACAGCCTCTATCATTGTTATCGGACCCTTTGGACAAACAGTCATGCCAGTCCAGATTCAGAAACCCACTGTAGCCAATTCTAGCAATTAGCATCATCCTATTTTGATTTCAGTGGAGCCAATGAATTTTTCAAGCCTTCCGAAGGAAAGGGAAAAAAAAGTGAAAAAAATCGACGTCGATTCAATCCAACCACCAAAGCCCGAGCTTCAGGCGGCTCCGGCTCTTCTTGTGGGAGCTTCCCCTGCAAGGCACGACCGGCTTCCCTTTGGCGCCTTGCCTCTTGCAGTCTTGCAGGGCTAGATAGGAGGTACTGAGTCCGGATGTATCTTTGGAAATAAATACAGCGGAAAGATACATCTCAAAAAGTAGAGGCAGTGAAGATTTGCCTGAAAGGGCACCTAGCCGAGCCCCACAACCAATTGGAGCCGCCAGAAAAGTTGTTGGGGAAAGGGTGGGTACGGATCTTGAAATGGAAGCAACGAAGGAAAACGTGTTGAGGCGAGGAAGGAAGGCAGGAAGTTGTGTTCGACGTCGACCTACAAGACCCAGGCCTCAGTCACAGTCCCAGTCTTTCGTGTTAGTGCGACTTTAATGATGAATATGGATGTCCAAGCAACAAGCGATAACGCGACGTCGCCCATCAATTGTCGAATACGCTGCGGCGAAATGGTCAACACAACAATTTCCATCATGGGCTGATTTAATGGTATCATTGTTTTCTTCAAGGGGAAGGGCATATGAAAGATCTCGGTGTCTCAGATGAGAGCGGGGATGGATATGTCATATCGTAAGGTATTGTATTGTAATCTAATATGCAGTGGCTGTTAGACGCTGCAGCACTTACATACAGCTGGGGACTGGACTATGCCAGTGTAGAGAAGACCTTATCATGATCCATTGGTACATATCGGTGCTGGAATCAAGAAATATCACAGTATTGTCTCGCTTTGCCTGATGATCGTCAAATTCCCCAAGATATATTCGTGTGCGCGCGAATGCCAACAAATCGAACCCTTGAATCTGTGTGCAGTACGAGCCAATGTCACTTTTCCTTTTATTCATGATACCTCTCTTCCGTACGAGACGGGATGGATCGTTACTAGGAAGCTATCGGAACGGAAAGACGGGACTGGCCTATACCTACCTTAGACTGGTATTGACGGCCCCGTTGGTTAGGTCGTGATGTGAATCGAAGTGCAGTTGCCTTTTTTTTTCTTTTCCACCCGTCCATATCCCCAATGGATTTTCTCCCCTTGTCGCTAAAGTTACGGTGGGGTGTGTGCCACATACGCAATTCAACCTCCAACCTTCACACTCACGTCAAGAATGCCAATGAACAGGCATCTATGCCTCTGATAAGGAGAATATGCCATTCATTCTCATCAATCTTCACAAGCAAAGCGCTTTGATTCAATTGAAAGGCCGAGGTCTGTAATAAGTCGTGTCAATATTGCATCACGACGTCTTAGACAAGATCGGATTGTGCCTATCAGTTGAACTTCAACAGAATACAAGCTTGCCCCAACATCAAGCTTCCAGATCATAGCATGAAAAGCTTACAGTTTGGGTACATACCGGCCTTCTATCGTTTGATCTTGTCTTGTCGCTCCATTGTGATAGACACCGGCAAACACCTAACATTGGCTGTTTGAAGCTCATTTGCCTTCAGACTTCAGGGTTGTCAATTCACAAACCCCAGCTCGACTGCTCGTGCCTCCCCCAACCTTGAATTCGCCTCTGCGACAAGGCTTATCCGTCAAAGCTCCACCTTGAACCCAGAACTGGACTCGTCTTTTCTTTGCCTCCCTCCTCACTGAAAGGTGTTGTCGCTGTCTTTGACCCTCTCTCCACTTGTCCCTCCACTTGTCTCATCTTTCACGCCTCACACCCACACAGTCGACATCCACACCCCTCCCCAGTCCCTACCGCTTCCTCTTCCTACATATCCTCTTCGCCCAGCTCCGGCGAGGGTCTAATAGTATAAAGCCCTTTTAGAGTCCACCATCCCAACACGACTTGAATTTCCCCTCTCGAACAACCTCCTTCAATCCTTATCCCTCTTCACCTTTAGTTTAGGATATCCATTATCCTAAGAGGGTTTATTCTCCCCCTTCACTCTTTCGAGTAGCCATCAACCCTGGGTTCTTGTGTGTTGGGACTTTATATCAAAGTCGACGATACTTGCCATCGGCAACTCAACCGACATGGCGACAGCTACTGCTGCGGGCAAGAATGCCTCGCCATTCCCTGATGGCACCAAAGACTATGTCCCTCTTCGAGCCGGCGCTGCCAAGAAGGACGCCAACAAGCCTCACATCTCCGATACTCCTATGACCTGGAGCAACTGGCCTCAGCACATCAACTGGCTCAACACAACACTTGTTGTTTTCGTTCCCTTGATGGGCTTCATCTCCGCCTATTGGGTTCCTCTCCAGCTTAAGACCGCTCTCTGGGCTGTCTTCTATTATGTCCACACTGGTCTCGGTATTACTGCTGGTGAGTTCAATCGTCGAGGCAGTTCTAGAATTCAACGAATTTGAAACTCACGTATTCCAGGTTATCACCGAATGTGGTCTCACTCCGCCTACAAGGGCACCACTCCTCTCAAGGTTTACCTTGCCGCCGTCGGCGCCGGCGCCGTCCAGGGCTCCATCCGATGGTGGTCTTATGGCCACCGAGTTCACCACCGATATACCGATACCGACAAGGACCCCTACTCCGTTCGCAAGGGTCTCATGTACTCCCACATGGGCTGGATGGTCCTCAAGCAGAACCCTAAGCGCCAGGGCCGAACTGATATCACCGATCTCAACGAGGACCCCGTCGTTGTTTGGCAGCACAAGAACTATATCAAGTGCGTTCTCTTCATGGCTCTCGCTTTCCCTGCGATCGTTGCCGGTCTCGGCTGGGGTGACTGGTGGGGTGGTCTCGTCTATGCTGGTATCCTCCGTGTTTGCTTCGTCCAGCAGGCTACCTTCTGTGTCAACTCTCTTGCCCACTGGCTCGGCGACCAGCCCTTCGATGACCGCAACTCTCCTCGTGATCACGTTATCACCGCTCTTGTCACCCTTGGTGAGGGTTACCACAACTTCCACCACGAGTTCCCCTCCGATTACCGCAACGCTATTGAGTGGTGGCAGTACGACCCTACCAAGTGGAGCATCTGGCTCTGGAAGCAGCTTGGTCTTGCCTACGAGCTGAAGGAGTTCCGTGCCAATGAAATCGAGAAGGGTCGTGTCCAGCAGCTCCAGAAGAAGCTTGACCAGAAGCGTGCCACCCTTGACTGGGGCATTCCTCTTGAGCAGCTTCCTGTTGTTGACTGGGACGACTTCGTTGCCCAGTCCAAGGCTGGAAAGGGTCTCGTTGCTATTGCTGGCGTTATCCACGATGTTACCGACTTTATCAAGGACCACCCTGGTGGCAAAGCCCTCATCAATTCTGCCATCGGAAAGGATGCAACAGCTATCTTCAACGGTGGTGTTTACCTTCACTCCAACGCTGCCCACAACCTTCTGTCTACCATGCGTGTTGGTGTCCTCCGCGGTGGTTGCGAGGTTGAAATTTGGAAGCGTGCTCAGTTCGAGAACAAGGATATTACCTACATGAATGACTCTGCTGGCCAGCGCATTATCCGTGCTGGTTCTCAGGCCACCAAGATTGTTCAGCCTGCTGCCAGCGCTGATGCTGCTTAGGTAGTACGACAATCAACATAACGATAAGAGGATAAAAAGGATAATTAGGGGATGTGCGACATCAGGGATATGAAAAGCGTCATGTCATGAAGACATGTCGTTGAAACGGTGTGGGGATACAGTCAGCCACAGTCACATGTCAGAGATATGAACTGTCTGACGCCACACCCATCCTGACGAGAAGGACACGAAAAGCACAAGACGTTTTTAAACGCGAAACCATAAATTCGACTCATGAATGGCGTTGGGGGGTTTCTTTATTTCTTTTTAAGATTGCTAAACATGCATGAAATACCAAGAGAGGGTGGTCACAACAAACCAACGAGAGCATATGGGCCAGCAATCGGTTCCGAAGATTGTATGACTACTCGAAAATACAAAATTTTGAATATTACCAAGTTTCCATTGTGAATTGTACATAATCAACGTCTAGATTCATTCAAGTAACTCCTGCAAGATATTCGTGTGCCAGCCTAAGTCTAACATAGCACATAGACATCACATTGCAGGATCTGTCACTTTCAAGGCGAAGAAGAGTGATGTATGTATCTCTCGAGTAGCATCAGTAAGATCACTCCTCTTTTTTGTCTTCAGAGATTGACAGTGCCCTCCTTATCATTAACAAACACAAATAGGTTTCCATCCTCACAATCCCTTTCTTGTTATGTGGCACTCAAACATTCCCACTTGTAGCAAAAGACGGCGAACTCCAGTAGAAAACGGTGCATCTTGAAATACCAGCCCACCATGGTGTAAGCGTGACTATCAGAATGTACACTCTTCAACTCTGGAAGCAGCTGGCAAGTGCTGTCCATCACTGTGGTTGTTAGAGAAACATCATACCTTAAAATAGAGTTCAAAGGTGAATGGAATTGTTAAAAGGGAAGCTACCATGGCATGAACTGGGTTAGGCTGCTTGTTGGACTCGCCTTGTGATTGTCCAGAACATTTACCAATGGCCATAATTGGCAGAGTATTTACTTGGTATTATCATGACCACAGGGCGTTATCCGAGTGAGGACACAATCCGCTGCTTATCAATGATGACGCTTATGACTCGGCCGACCAGCGACTGAGCTGTGTTGCTTGTTGCTGCTGTGTACCAAAGGTGTTGTATATAGCTGGAGACGGTACTGATGAGTAGGGCAGGTAGCAGTTACTTTTACGCCACCTTTCCACAAAGATATGTCGAATAAAATTAGGAACGAGAAGACGCCCCTGACGCTAGGTGAAGGCCTGGGCTCTCAGCTCAATCGAGGGATTGAATGAGGGGCATCATACCAGGATGCGGACCTCAAATATGTTGTGGTCAATAGAGAACCGGCTGATTGATCTATGTGCTGATTCAAGAAGTTGACTGCGTGTTTTGATCACAACAAGCTCATGGGGTGGCCATACGTGCCTTTTGCACCGCCAACTCTGAGCTCTTGGCCCATGCGCCATTAGGAGTCTGACGATAGCACAGCAGCCGTCCATCGTCACCAGTACTGCCCAAGATATGGCCATCATCGTCAAAACCAACACGCCACACTGGGGTGCGATGGTTGTCAAGCTTGGATATCTCTGCGAACTGGTGCTTGACCTGGCCTGGCTGGCCCGACCATTGCCGATCATTATGAGAGCCAGACTTTGCAAGGCTTGCGCTGAGACTGGAGTTATGGTGTTGATGGTAGCTGTGAGAGGGTTGGAGTTGTGGTGTTGTCGCTTGTTTCTCCGTTGGTGTCGCTGTTCCGTTGGTCCTCAACTGGGGCGTGGAGTCTCTTGTTGATAAGTGAGGGGCAGATCTCAGAAGATCAGCTGCAGACCATGATTTCCCATCGTCGTCTGAGTAGGGTGTCTCGATGCGGAAGACACGTGCATAACCGTCTTGACAGGCTGTTGCTACAACGTCATAGCCTCTAATATTCCCAGCCGCCCACGCTACATCCCGCACTAAGCCTCTATGGCCAGCCAATTCTACCGCAAGATAGAATTCCTTCTGGGTTTGCTGAACCCCCATGGATGATGCGACGATATCACGCGATCGATATACTTTGACAGTATCCATTGCAGCGACTACAAGGCCGAGGGAGTCTGAAGGTACGCCTGCTCGCAGAGCTGTATAGCATGGCTCAGGATTTGGGTCAAAGCGAACACGGAATGCTAGCTCCTCTCCTCTATTCGGTTTTGGCGCAACGCTGAACTCATCGATAGATGCATATTCGGAAAGATTCTCAGGCTGATCGTTTTCATATACTGTTAGACGGCCATCAGTCGCAAGAAGAGCTAGGTACGTATGCCGTGTCTCTTCATTGTACTTCATTGAGAAAGATCGGTAGGGTGCTTTGTTAGATCGCGTATCGAACGCTGGTTTTCCATTGCCAGCACGTCCAGTGCAGAACCTTCGACCCGGTGCGGCGGAAGGGTCCTCAGCCCAGAGTCGAAACCAACCTTCAATGCCGAGGGAAGCGATCAAGTTAGGATACACCGTTGCAGGAAGCCATTGAATCTGGAAATTAAGGAAACAAGAGGTCAGCATGCATGTGCGACAGGATGACACAGAGAGCAAAGAATATTTGGAGACAAGGGGCTTTTTTTCTTTCTTCGAAAGGGGGGCTGCGTTACCTCTAGAATCTCTCCGCCATGCGCAGTCCAGGTATCGCAAAGACGCCATGTGCCATCCTTGTGGCGGTTGAAGACACGGATCTTACCATCTACGGAGCCGGTTGCACAGCGATCGCCATAAGTGTTGAACGCGACGGCCTGGACGAGATCTTTATGGCCATGCTGAAGGTTGAGGTCGAATGCTGGTGTTTCCTCACCTGGTGAGGGGGGGATAGAAACGCTCATTGTGTGTGGAATACTGAGATTTGAGGGCTCGCAGTGTCGAGGAGAAGTGGCTAGTGATTTGTTATGCTGTGTCTCGTACTATAAAGCAAGGTACGGTCCGATATCGTCGTGTGGTGTCAGGTGTTGGTCGGTGGTGTTGTGTTGTGTTGTTGACAAAGCTCCACAGCGGCTCAATTGAATTGAAGCTTAGTTCGGTACGTACCGGAGCTGTCCTGTCAAAGTCCATGCAATGCAGGTTCCCCACGTGCCTGATCTAAGGTGGAAGTGCCCAATCATTGTGTAGCTTTCAAGATTATTGACATTATGATATCTACCTACCTAGTACCTATGCTTAAGTAGCGGGTAGATGATCAAAATGATTTTAATTTTCAGTAACAAAAAGGCTACAGGTATGAACTATATTGCAGTATCGTCCTTCCCATAACTTCAATGGCCCTTTTGATTATTACATGTGACAGCTCGGTGGCAGTGATGAGATTTGATTGGGGACGCCAATAAATAGGTAAGTAAAAATTGCAGTTAGTGCTTTGGAAGGTTGTATCACCTCTGCTTAGTACTTGCCTACTCATAGTCAGCTAAGTGCTTGGTTCTTGGTCACAAAAGCTACGAAGGTACCTATGTAAAGGTGGGATCATAAAAGATGTCATGATGGCATTGCGCACATCTAGCACTTAGTGCAGCGCAAACATATAACATTTTGGAACAGAATTCGAGGTCAAATAAATTTAGTCATAATATTTCTGATCCACAGAGTAACTTTCGAATAGTAACAGTCCATACTATCCTATCCAGGAAAGTTATCATGAGCACTACTGTAGCTATAGGTGCAGGGATCCTCCACACTGATTTGTCCCCTAGCGGCTCCACAAGCATTAGGGATTGTAGAGCTTCTCAGCCTCGCCAAACTTCAACTTAAACCTTCCTTCTTCGTAGCATCGCGGTCGACCAACTTGCAATACATCGAAAAAGGTACTACAGTATGGCTCATCTCTTGAACCCTCTTGCAACGGCATCTCAGCTATATCATAAATCATCTTTCTCATCTCTGCCGCAAGATCTTCAAGATACAATCTTCATCACTTCGCAATGCCTCACACAAGCTGCTGGTCAGCTCCTAGAGCTCCCCCAGTCTGTTACAGCGCAGGCAAACGTCATTTTGGCGCGTTACTGGCTTGTTGATTCCCCAATGGCAAATGAGTTCAGCGTATGTTCTTTACCACTCTAAAGCCTCATTAAGTCTCTGGTGATACTAACTCGTGCTTCAAGGACACATCTGCTGCCACTCTTTATCTGGTTGCCAAGATGGGACCTCAACCTCGGTCATCACGCGACATATCTAATGTTTACGCTTACCTCCTATCTGAGAACTCATCCTTTTTGCACATCCAAAGCAGTCCCAAGAATGACCCCAGGTCCTATTACGTGCCCGAGGCCGACTATCACAGCTTTCAGACCCGCATCCTTGCCATCGAAGCTCGGATTCTCTACACACTTTCATTCGACACACACGTCTCACTGCCTCATCCACTAGCAGTCACTTACCTACAGACGCTGGACTTTCTTGCGCAGCCCAAGTCCATTATATCTCTGCGCACAATTCAATATTTGAACACGGCTTTCCTCTCACCTCAGATGTTGTATCTCACCCACCAACCCCATGCGCTTGCTACTGCTGCCATTTACAACGCAGCTCGAGATGTAGGTGCCAAAATGCCGGAATGTGAATGGTGGGAGGTTTTCGACGTTGATCGAGAAGAGCTCGGGTTCCTTGTTGTGGGAATGCGTAGCGTGGAAAACTATTTGCGCAAGTTCAAGGAGGAAATGCCCGATCTCAGCACGAGCATGCCTACGCGAAAATTGATAGACAGGGAGCTTCAGAAGAGGGGCATGGGAAGTGGTAACGGTACTACCGCGGTCGACGAGGAGCAGCAACTCATGGATATGATGGATAGCAAATGATTGCATGCTTTCATCCGATAAGTCCTTCCCTCGGTATCGCATTCGGTCCTGCTGCAGAAAGAACAAGGAAGCACCACCGATCACCATGTTGCATGTCAACCAAGACACCAATGAGCTGATGGAACACTGGCGTGACTCTGCATATTCAGAGCCGAACTTGTGAGTATCAGGCCATTATTTCGAAATATAGCGGCTGAAGTCAGCTCGGAGCAATGGCAGTGACAGGTCACATCCGGTTCTATGGATTGAATTGTTTAAATGCGGCATATCAAATCCACAACAGGATTCTTCATGGAAAACTCGCATAAGTCTAGAACTCGCCAAACCAGTTGATGCAGGAAGATGAGGCGATACAACGCCGAATACATAAGACATAACGACGTGTGGTGTGCTTATGGGAAGATGAAGCCTTGAGAGACTTCCTCGATATACTTCTAATGTGTATGTACGGCGCTTTACCGGCTCCGGCAAGCAGTGTCTGCCATTGCCAACTCTCATGATTGAACGGACGACATGCAAGATAACCAGGTTCAGATGAGATAAGGGTGGGACAGTGGCCTTGTCTTTGCATGGACAACCCGTTTTATGGTCATGCATCCCATGTGACAGTTTATTATTTACTTTTTTATTTATTTTTAACCTCACGATGCACAATATAAAGCGCCAGATGCGGTTATCCGATAGATGCCCACATAGTCAAAGTCAAAAGCGGAATATTCAATCAAACTTGCATACATAGCCAATTTCAGGGCTACAGAGAAAGCTTCATCTGGCCCAATCAACAGTGTCAGTGACATGCGGTGAAGAAAGGGTCGGGCTGGAGACCTGGAGTCTGAACCCCAATCATCCTTGAGGGCATCGTGGAGATGAATGCGGGGATAAAGAACTAAGGCGCTAACCCACGCTGGTGTCTGTTGGGATTTGCTCTCAACGTTACAAATTGTCTCGTGATCGACTATGATGTAACCCGCGACGTTGTCTGAGAGTAAGGCGTAAATAACTGGGGTAAACAACCCCAGTCTGACCAGCCAGTTCAGCCTTGGACATCTGAACTGGACAAGATGAGTGACAGTTGTGCATACAAAGTATGGGGCGTGACCGTACTTGCTGATCGATGAACCCCCTACGAATTCATGGAAGCAACCGGGAGTCGACGATCTCTTCACATCAGATACCTATACCATAGAATGCCATCACGGAAGAGCCTCTCAAAATGCAACAGTTTGTGGCGTCCCAGCGGTAACACCGACATTAGGAAGCGGCCAACTCGATCCGACGTAGCGTCGAAAAGCTTATCTTTTACTCATCGGGGAAGCTTGCTAGTCCATCAAAGAAAATTCTCTCTCGATATCGAACTACCTATTCAGGCTCAAGGCGATGCCGGTCACATCGGAGCGCGATGATATCCGCTCCATGGCCAATGGTAAAACATTCCACCAAGTCAAACATGTTCCCATTGGAGCGAGGGCTGATCGGCAAGGACAGTCGCGGCTTTTTTGTCTCCTGGCACGAAATCTTGGGGGCGAGGTGGGTGATTGGATAGCCGGGACCAAAACTGGAAATGCGAGGAAGCTCCAGTTGGTTTTCTAGAACAACACTCACTGCTCCCTCTTCCGTCTTAGCCGGGCGTTTTTCCCACGCTTATTCTCGTGGACCGGTATGAGAGATTAATGACTACTGAAGAAATTATCAACCAGAATGAATGAGGAGCCCCCGACTTCAAGTGAAACAAATAAATGAGTCTTACAGTCGGCCAGATTGTTACAGTTGTGTACTCGAATCCAGCCCAGGCTGTCTAGTGTACCCCCATCTTTTGTGTACGTACCGCGAAGCACGGAGACAACGGAGACAGGGGTGCGCTAACTATCGTGTTGCCGTCTTTGGTGCACCTTCACATCGTGGGGCAAGCTGAGGGTGTTGCACAGTGACTTGTTGCTCCTGATGCCCCGGTCCAGGTCATGCAAAGAAAATGGCTCACTTTGTTTAGTTCCGTGGACCTTGAACAAGCGTATCTTGACTGAGATGACGAGATACGTATACTCGATCACAAAAGGTATATTAGGGCTCCTCATTCTCCTCTTCTACTCTTCTTATTCCATCCATCTTGCCTATCCATCTCTTCTCTACTCTACTCTACTCTACTCAACTCAACTCTTCACTTACACCAAACCCATCTTCAAAATGCCCGAGTCCACCACTATCCAGACCCCTGCCGCCCTCGGCGATAACAGAGGCATCAAGTTCTCCTTCAAGACTGGTAATGCCCGCTACCAGTGTGTTCTCCAGGACCGATCTGTCTAGTAAGTAGTTCTCGATTCAACACGTACCATGATGGCAAAACAGAGGCTTACCAGATGTTCAGTGAGCGCACCAAGGCTTCCCGCCAGAACTCTTCCGACTCTGTTTCCTCAACCGAGTCTACTAAGACCGAGAAGTCTTCCCACTAAACTTAAGCTGGGAGGTTACGGGATCATGGCACCTTGACCAACATCAACCCTCAATCAAGCTTGTCTGTAACAAGGCTTCGAAGGGAACAATGGTGACCAATGCAAACAAAACTGGGGAGGGAGTTTATTTTATACCACAATTATCTGGCATTAGCGACGGTTTTACAGAGACATTTGGCGTCTCCATGAATCAAAACAATATTTTTCTATCGTTACTATTTTTCATTCTCATTGTGCATCGCGTGCTGATATAGACTGAAGCCAGCATTTCATCAAACATCAAGAATTGACGTGCTGTTAAAGTCTCGATCGCCCAGACATCAGGAACATTTTCATCTCTGGGCGCGCAAGCATTGTGCCCAGTTAGAGCAACCAAATGACAGATTGACAAGTGGATTTTCCTGTTCCTGTTCCATCGGCTGCGAGACCCCGATTGCCAAGGTTTTTTCTTGGTTGCTCACCAATATCTCCATGAAGGTGGAGCAGAAGAGTTGGCCTCATGCTTCAGGCTACAAAAATAAATAGCCTTAGAAGCCTGATCTGGATAACATAATCTGACCTACTAATTTTGTCTCTCATGCTTACAGCGGCCAATTTTTCTGATACCTTTAGGCTCTCCGACCTCATCGCCACCAGAATTGCCGGAACCCCAAACGACCGACCGCCGACGTTCCATAATCTCGAATTCCGCTGTGGATAAGAGAGAAGCCCGGACATTTGATCATGATCCTAATCCGATGCCGACCTAGCCAGACCCAGAGGCAAAGAGGACACTGGGGCTGTGGAGAAGATGCAGGACCCATCCAGGTGAAAAGGCGAGACACCGAGAAAGATACGATCCATACTACCAACCTAGGTATGTCATCTGTGTGCTGAGGTTAGGCTTGCCTATCTTTTGTGTCTTTTGAGGCATACATTCATCAGGATATCACAAAAATTGACCGATGGAAGCATAAGGGACGCAATATTTAGGTCAGTTTATGCTAATTAGCCCCCATTTCTTAGGCTGTTTATTTTTACACCCTAAGGCTTCAAGCTGCACGCCTTGCTATTTTGCGACTGTCGCGACTGCAACAAGGTCGAACATCAATGACTCCTCGGCGACAGGAGAAGACCATCGAGGTCATAGGACAGTTTCCTCGCAAGATTGGCTAGATGACAAACAGAACTCGCCCAACCTATTTACTAGGTCAATAATTCCTGAAAAAGAAGATAAGTTTATTAAAGATATCACCAAGTCATTTAGCAAGGAAACGGCGCCCTTATTCCAATATCGTATCGACAAAGACTTATCTTAGCCTTATATCAGAATAAACAACGGGACAAGGCAAAGATGCTAAAGGCTGCGCCCATAGAAACCTCGGTCACACAAGTATCACTTGCAGTAGCCAGTATTTACAGAGAGTGCTCTCATAGCTTTAGCTATCAGTCTTAAGAAAATAGCAATCACTGTCTACCGCAACGATAACTCTCTCGGCTACCAACTTAAGTCTATCTCTGACGAGGTGGCTCGATTAGATGAGTACCGCAAGTCAATGGACTCAAGCTATTTACTTCAGCAACAGGAAGTAACTCAACAAATATGTAACGCGGTTCAAGGTCTACTTCCCTCCTTATCTCGAATGAACGAGCTTCACACTGCTGAGCCTGGCTCTACATACGCACAAGAATACAAGGAGGAAATCAACGCCTTTTGTGTGTTATTAGACGGAGACATAGCGCTTGATAATGGGAAGGAGGTGAATGATCTTAGGGCATCGGAAACATTGGCCGCTAGAAGCATAAGGGACGGAATTAGCAGTTCAGTTTATGCTATTTAGACTAGACTTCTTAAATTATTTATTTTTACACCTTGAGACTTAGGAGGTCAACTTTTCTGCTACGCATTGGGCGAGCTTCTGTCAGATTCAATTATTCATTGAGAGGTCGGCCAAGCCGGTCAATTGCCGTATCACAGTACTTCTTGGTACTGATTACTGGGCGCGCTAATAAAGCGATAGCGGCCGGTAACTTCGGATGTGTTGTTCTTGTCTCACCTCCATGGCTTTCCTACTGGAAGATGCATAGATATATACAATTGCAGACCGACTATTATTCTTAATGATTTCCAGAAATATCAAGTGCTTTCTCTTTCGCCTGACTGAGGTGGAATCAAGTCAAAAAATTCGTACGCCATGTACGACAACATGTCACCAGGCGTCGTCATGTCGTACCTGGCCCTGGCTAACAAGCCCCGACGGTTGAACCATGTTCGGCCAGACGGCGGGCTGACTCGAGCAGACGATACGTTAGTACTATGTTCTGACAATCGGTGCCGCGCCATCAATTGATCCTCATCATCAAAGTGACATGTACTCGTAACTTGTTTGATGGTTTTGTTTGAAAGCTAAGAATACAATGACGTCTTTCGAACAGGCAGACATATAGAGTTCCAGGGGCTTGTCAGCGCCTCTTACTATATGTACCACGCTTGATGCAATTTAAGTTTCTAACGATACCTTTACAAGTATAACAATAGATGACAAAAAAGGTAAGATTTTTCGAAAGAGCGTTGTGTACGGCTTTGTTATGGCCGAATGCTTGGCTGTTAGCAGTGTGCATAGGTCTGGCTATCACACACATCACATCGCACACGTCACGCGCTCTCATCTCCATCCGCAAGCGGCGGTCGAGAAGAGATATTCATCTTGATAAATAATAAGTACCGAAGGGTGGATTGGATTGTGAAAAATACAATGCCTATTCTTTTATAGAGATTCATAGTCAAAGAAACTATTGCATGGCTGTGTCTTGTATGCACGCTTCTCGCTATCAACCCAGTAAACATTAGCACAGCCTGATAGGGTACATCATGTAATGTCATGTAAAGAGTTGGTTAGTCCGAGTCTGAGTCTGAGTCTGAATCGTAAACGTACTTGATATTTGATTTGGGCTGAGCTTGAGCTTGAGCTTGTTTAAATCCTCTCGGGTCCTTCTTGGCCCACGACCTTCTTGTCTCTCTTTTTATTCTGGCCGCTTTCCATTACTTCCACTCATTCCCATTGCTTCTGTTCTGGTGTTGGATCGACAACGTCCTGCCGACAGTGTGTGCCATTGTTCTTTACAAAGTATTCAATCATTACTATCCGTGCTCAAGGGCGATCCAGGGCAGCGCTTGGAGATAGCAATGCCTCACCCTCTAATAGCTGGAGGTATGTAAAAGATCTTCATGTCTGTCTATCTATCATATTTTTCCCACCATCCCTTTCAGCCAAAAGGTCGTCGTCACATCACCAGCTCAAGCCAACCTAACCCAGCCCAGCCCATGCCATGTGCTACTCTTTCTGGACTACCCCGCGTCGGGGCTTGCGAATCATAACGCACGTCTGCCTGAGAGAAGTCGCCTGAGCCACAGTCCCGAGGCTGCCTCTGTGGCAAAATGCCTTTCACTTTAGTAGAGCTGGGCTTCCAGGACTACGCAAGCTCAAACTTCCCCTTGAATTTGCCCCCAGATTCTCAATTTATTGCATCTTGTTTATTTTATTTAGAACTTCTGGCAAGCTCTATCCTGATTACACTACACTTTCTTTTCCCTGCTTTGCGAAAAAAGCAAGATTTGTTGTCTTCTTTTCGTTTGCTCGCTTAGACAAACTCTCCCCACTCCATCTACGCCTCACCTACTTCTTCTCTCTTACATCCTCAGTCTCTCTTCATAGAGCAGACTCATTGTACAGTATAACAATGCCTAACCATGTTATTCTGGCATCAGGTGCCGTAGTTGCCGTCTCGGTCGCTGTCGCCACCGCTGTTGCCATTTTCGAGTCGCCTGAAGTGCGACGATACGCCGATGATGTTCGCCGCAGGATAGCCATCGCCTTGCACTCCATGGGCGAGGGCATCGAACCTCCCCATCGTGAGCCAAGATTCAACAGACCCGAGGATGCTGATGGCTTTCTCCAATCCCGTGGTGGTGCCGAAGCTGGCGTTGATGCCGATGAGGAAACCCGTCGAAGACAACGTGAGGAACTGCTCTACTGGAACTCGGTCATGTTGGAGAAGCAAGAGAAGGATCAGAAGGACAAAGGCGAGACTAGCCCATCCGTAACCGACTCGCAACGACGAGGCTCTTCTTTCGATGATTTCCTTCGTCAAGACGATGGCGCTGAGCAAGGGACATATGTTTTCAACACTGGAGCTGATACCCGAGGAATGGATGAGGGCCTACGACGTCGTGGCGATGGTCCCCGTGGTTTCACTCCTCTGTACATCAACCCTTTTGCCGACGAACACCACATCGACCATGACGAGATCAACGAGGAGCCTGAGGAAACCCGACAAACCGCCCCTGCTGCCGACGAAGTCTCTGATATCTACAGCGCCACCACTCAGGACAAAGACGAGAAGCCTACTGCCGCCGTTCTTATTGATGCCGACCCCACTCCCGCCCGCTCCGAGACAGCCTCCACTGCTACCCTCGAGCGAGAGATCGGCGTTGATGAGTACATGACCGCCGGCCAGGAAAACCGCGACGAGGCCTACGCATCTATTCAGGCCTGGGCGCAAAACACAAGCACCGACTTTTACTCACCACTTCCCGTCACTCCTACTGCCCCCATGTCCGAGCCTGAGATTATCAGCGACGACGGTATGCTGACTCCCACCGACTCCGTTTCCCTTGTTGGTTCGGGTGAGGATGTCGCCAACGATGCGCAATCGTCCAGGGCCGATGAAAACGGCCGCTACTACGATGTCATGAGTGAGAGCTCTGGCATGGCTACACCTGCTAGCTGGTCCGAGATTGGCAGCGTTATCAGCGAGAGCGATGCTCCTGTTCCTGTGCGTCGATAAATATATCGAATGGAAGAGTTCCAAAATGATTTGCACTTGGGATGGTTGAGTAAAACGCCGCTGAATTGAATAGCAGACTTGGGATTGGGAATCACAGACCATGTTATAGTGAGATAGTTTCTTTGTTGTTCTTTTGTCTTGGAGTTGGAGTTTGGGTTTTTGGCATACTTATT